TCAGTAGCAGAGATTTCAGTTTTGTACTCCCTAAAGCGCGGGTGGTCAAAACCGCTCTTCGTTTAGTTTTGCAACAGCTACAATTGTTCTTGTTCCATCTTAGTTTAGTTTTGCGACAGCTACAATTGTTGAAACTTGTTCGAACCACACAGCCTCCATTGCAATGTGGAGAGAACAGTAACCAGGGACGTCGCTAGGATCTAAGGGTACCTGATGGAGCAGACGGGCCCTTCGGGCCCGTCTGCTTCATCAGTAGGATGAGTGCTTCCCTGTCTGTTTGATCAGGAATTTTCAGAATTTTTTTCTGTTGTGTCAGACTACGGTGCACTTGCATTTCTGTTTCATTTTTTTTTTTGGAGCATACTGGCATTTGCTGAAATCACTCACTTGTACAAGTTCAGTATAAGAACTATCACCTCACAAGAGTATATTAGTAAACTTCAAACTAGGTGTTACATTACATCTACTCTACTCTACTCAGTATCAGAGTCTAGCGCCACTGTGGCACGGACATCAAGCCCATTGTCGTCATCATCACTGTCGTCCGACACGGCTACAGCTGCACATGCCTTAAGCTTCTTTGAGGTCCTCCGCCTTACCACATCTTCATCATCTTCGTCTTCATTGGAGGCAGCAGCTGATGTTCCTCTCTCGGCCTTCCGCTTAGGGGCTCTCTGAGGAGTGCACTTGGTCGTCACTTCCTTAGCAGGGCGCCTCTTCTTTGCCCCCCTCCAAGCAGCCACCACCTCGTCCCAGTTTGGCTCATACTGCAGGAGCGACACGGACATCAAATCCGCCAGGCGTGTGTTGCACAGATTACCGCGGAGCCAGGATTTGATGATGTTTTGCCTCGAGAAGCCGCGCTCGCACTCGACGGTGCTCAACGGCAGCACGGCGAGAGCGATCCAGATGCGGACCATGTTGGGGTAGCTCGTCTCCCAGTCTTCACTGCGTAACATGTGCTTGAGGCCGGCGTGGAATGTCTGGTCCTTGTACTGCGATGCCATCATCTTGGTGAACGGCGCCAGTTCCCGTCCCGCCTTTTTCCAGCTCACTCCTGCTCACGCACAGAAGCAAGTACACGAGGGGGGGGCGACGGGGAGGTAATTCTTTGGGAACATAACACCGAGTGTGTAACACACCTACCTGGAAGTACGCACTTCTCCGCACTGAACAGCTCGCGGAGAGACTGGAACCAGGCTGCGCAGAGGCGGTCTCTCTTCGCGCTACCCTCGGGGTACGCGTCAGGCAGAAAAAGCTTCGCTCCACTGAGGGTGTCTAGGCTCTCCATCCGCTTCAGGAGGTGCTTCACAACTTCCTGCGCAAAACGGGAGGTTACAGTTATGCAAGATTCAATGTCTCCCTTGGACTTCTGACCCTTGATGGCGTCCTCGTGCAGCTTGAAAGTGTGGGTGACGGGACTTCCCTCCCCATCCATGCCTTCGACAGTCACCTCCCGCTTGTTCAATGGTCCATGCTTGTCCAAAAACTCTGTCAGCAACTCGCTATCCTCAGCGTAGTTGACGCCGTGCTCGATGTATCGTTGCTTCAGCTTGTCGCACGTGTTGTGGACCATTGATGCCACCCGGGTGATGTCCACCTGCACACGGCAAGAAGCAGTAGTCATAGCCGCTCGTATGCATAAATATCAGCACGGACCTCACAAGTGCTCACCGTGCGCCGTTGAAACTTGAGGTTCAGGTCGTTGAGCAGTTTCAGCACATCTGCCAGGAAGAACAGGAAAAAGTGGAACTTGAAGCTTGTGAATGTCGCGTATGCCTTTTTGTCGTGCTCCCACAACACCACTATTGCCGCCGGTAGGACTGTCACGAGCCTCCGAATCGCGTCGCCACGCGCCAGCCATCGAACGTCTTTAAACCCCTGCACCTCCAGAGACGTCTCGTGCAGAATGTGTTGGAGTTCCATGAACCGGGAGTGCAAGACGATGCTCCTTCCCAAGTTCTCTGCGACGCTCCGCACGACCGTGTCGACCATGTTGAGGTCGGGCACCGCCTCCGCCGCGTCCTTCGCGGCGAGAGCCTCCCTGCATGTGTGTGGAAACAAAGGGTTAGAACACTGCAACAAGTGTGACAACAAAATCATAAACAATCAACACACAAATGTTGACAACGGACCTGTGAGCGATACAGTGGCACGTCACCAAGTGTGGGACTCGCAGTTTCAGCTGTGTCGCCACTCCAGCCTGTGAACCCCGCATCACGCTCGCGCCATCCGTACTAATGCCCGACAATTTCATGATGTCGACGCCCGTGACGGCCAAATGGGCGAGAAGTACCGTCAACAGAGATGACGCGTCGCACTTCTCGACTGTCAAGTGCCCAAACAGCTCGGTGACGACCTCTGCGTTGCGAATGAAGCTCAGATAGACGATCATGTGCTTGCCTCTGCGACGGTCGGAACTCTCGCCGAGTTGAATGCCTAGGAACGGAGACGCCTGGATGTGGCGCATCTGCTGCTGCTTAAGGTTGGTGACGATCGCTTCGGTTATTTCACGAAAGCCGTACCTGCACGTCACAGTCTAGGTGGTATTAGTCGTTGTGATTTCAGAAACACAAACCAGAAACTTATCATCACTCACACTGACTGGTATGTCCCTATGGCCTTGTCCGGGATGTGCGGCGTCTGAAGCTCGGCCAACAGGCGAACAAGATCAACATAAAGGGAGATGGGGGAATCGGAAGTGCAGATAAATAGCACGACCAGCATCAGTTGTTTCAGCCGCGACGTCTCGTTGTCGTCGTTCTCGAACTGCTCAATGCCCCGTTGGTCAACCTTACCGCCTTCTGCGCGAAGCTTGGCATTGACGGCGTCCTGATGCTTCTGGCTGAGCGCGTGCTTCCGCATCGTTTGCCGCTGGATATCAACGCCACCGTCGCCAAGTTTACCGAACTTCCAGTGGGCAGGACCGTGAGCCATGCATATGCTGCACTTCATGCACGGAGTCCCGTCCTTCCTCTGCGTGATAATCAGCCACTTGAATTTGTCCAGCCAATATTCCTTTGACAGTTCGTGCAGCTTCTCCATTAGCGCGTCTGGATCAGGGACATGGATGGTGCTCCTAGAAGGCCCAGGATCACCTGTCAGATGAGCTGCTGGTGGAGTTGATGAAGCACCTACTCTAGGCGCTGTGGTGGGGCGTGCCACGATGCGGACGTGTGGAACCCCTGCCTTAGCAATCCGCAGTGTGCTCTGGGTATATCGTCCTGCCTTGGGGAAACGGGGCACGGCAGTACTACGTGAAGTGCTAGGCGCCGCTTGCGATCTAGGCTTTGGTGTATTCCGAGAAGAGGAACTAGGGGAGACAGGCGGTGTGCTGCTGAAAGCCCGTCTAGCATTAACAGCGGGCCATGAAACAGGAGTAACATCATGGCGATTCGGGGAAGGTGCCCTAGGAACGCGAGTCGGCGAAGACGAGCCTAACACGGCGGCAGGCTGGGAGCGGTTTAGGAAATCTAGGCCCGTGACTAGTGGATTGGGCCGTGGGGTGGGTGATTCAGGAGCTTCTGCGTTGTCCGCCATGGCGAGAAGGCGGACTGACGTGAAAGGGGAGAGAATTAGTGTAATGGCGGTGAAAATGGCTGGGTGGGGCGTTTGTAAGAGAGCAAGGGAGAAGAAGGACCCCCCGAAACCCCAACGCCCGACCGCACATCCCAGTTGACGAAGCGCGCATGGCTCCCGAAAACTGTGGGTGGCACCACTAGACTGTGGGTTTGTGGTGCTGGATTGATGACTGTTGTACAAAACTAACCAATCCCTCACTTGTGACAGGCCACGTACGACAGAAACGGTCCTGCGTAGGCAAGTCGTGACGCAGACATCACGTGAGGTTAGCATAGAACCTGACTGTTTGCCTGTTGCAGCAGCATTTTGTTGATGTGGTGGCAAAAGATACACGTGGGAGCACGGGCCGCGAAATGTATGATGCATACATTCCGGTATTCAAGGGGAAACACCCACACCACGCCTTGTTCACGCGTGAATCACGCCCAGGGCCTCAGATTGGTTTTGGGGCACCCTGATCACTCAGTGTTCTTTGAGGTCTAACACTGATTTTCAGTGTCATCATCTAAAAAACACTGATTTTTCAGTGTTCACAAAAGAATTACACTGATCAATCAGTGTTCTAAATAACATAAACACTGATTTCCTTTGCTAGTATGGGGAATTATGATAGCATCGAGTATGGTTTGCTCAGCACACCACACCAGCACCACGATGCCAGCATTGGAGGGAAACACGTACCTCTGGCTTTGTGTGCTGCGAGGCCAAATCACTCAAGAGGGTACAGGTTATTAGTGGCAACCAATCAGAACTTGAGAAGTTTACCACCTGGCACGAAGGATGCCATGTGCAGCAAAACAGCTGGCGGTACTGTAGGAGCTTGACAGGCGAAGTAGCAGGTCATGGCGCAAATCACAGGATGAACTCCCTACAACACTTGGGCCAATCAGATTGCGCCGTTTCTAGTTTCAGGGTCGAACTCGATGCAACACTGACTCGTCAGTGTCAAACACAAAACACTGAAAAAACAGAGTTACACATAAAAAAACACTGAAACATCAGGGTCGTTAAAAAAAAAAGGCTGATACATCAGGGTCACAATAAAAAACGAGGGTCAAACTTCAGGAATTCAGGGTATAAATCCTGACTTCTGAGGCCCTGATCACGCCCAAGGATAGAAAGATCCGGTAACAGACGAAACCGGAAAGTGTTCCTGATGAATCAGAGGAACATGGAAAACGTATCTGATGGATCAGATACAGAGGAAAAGCATTTCTGAAAGAACAGATTTCACGAAGTGCTAATTTCTGAATCATCAGATTAAATCAAAAAATAGCCTCCAAATATAGGACAAACAGACCAAAAATTTCTGCTAGCGACAACCCTGACAGTAACCCTGGAAACAGAGAAGCACGCTGGCCCATCTTTGTTCTTTGCATTGAATCACCATAAATTAATGCAATCCAACAATACTGGGTTCATTCCCTCTTTGCCCGTCTGATCTTCACTGCTCCATTCATCCCCCCACTACCACCACCGACACCACTACCCGCAGCTGCATAGGCAGCTCCAATGGCAGCTGTGATCTGCCCCCAGCAGCGGCAGAGGATGGCAAAGGGGATCACAATCCAAATTGCGTTCATCGCTATAAAGTACCCCCAGAAGTAGATCGGGGCAGGATGACAGTTCTTGGAACCTTCCAGGAAGCTCGTCGCAAAGTAGATGACGTCACCGTACAGCTGGCCAAGGGAGACGGCGAACTGAAGTAGGGGAGAGAAGGGTTTTCGGGCAGCCATGGCGTACCTGTGAGAGATGGGGTGTGTGGGGTTGGGGGATCGGGGTGTGAATGAGAATGAAGGGACGTTCGCCATGGCGTGCATGTGAGGGATTTTGTGAAAATGTTGGAGATAGGAAGTCAAAGCAAGGAGAAGGGGACAAGCAGACGATGCGGACACGATGCAGCTGGGAGGGTAAGGGCTCGTGCTCAGGCCCTTCAATGAAAGCAGTGATTGCCTCAACGGAGATCACACAGGCATTTCAAGTGGTGCGGATTGTGGTGCCGAAAAACAGGCAGCAAAAGCCACTCAAAAGAAGCCCTTGGCATAAGGCTGAAAGCTTAAGGATCACAGCACGCAGGTCACAGCAGGAGGGTCACTCACAGGATGAGGAAGCAAGCGGGCCCTTCGATGAACGCAGTGACCGCCTCAACGGAGAGCACACAGCCATCTCGCGTGGCATAGCGCGAGTCCGCCTTGCTGTACTCCTTCCCTGCGATGGGGTGGTGCGAGAGAGGGACAGGTGTGAGGGTAAGACGAAGCAAGATGGGCAGGAAGCAGAATAAGGCGGGGAACAACAAGACATGCACATCCATCTCGTGTGGCATAGCGTGAGTCCGCCTTGCTGTACTCCTTCCCTGCGAGGAGGGGGGAGAGGTGGCAGGTGACAAGGTAAGGAGAGGCAAGAGGAGGCAGGCAATTAGGTGAGGTCCGGGAACGCAACGAACGTCACTCCTTGCCTAACGTGCGCCAATACAAGCCTCACTGCCACCCAAATCCCAATCTTCACCACACGAGCAATCTTGAAACCCACATGCAGACCAGTAAGCAGAAGGTACGTACATGCGTCTAACAGAAACGCGTTGCTGGGACTGCATTGACTCCTTGCCTAATGCGTCAATGCAAGCACCATCCTCAACCCCAGGAGCATTCTCTTCACCCCAGGAGCATTCTTTTCACCCCAGGAGCATTCTCTTCACCCCAGGAGCATTCTCTTCACCCCAGGAGCATTCTCTTCACCCCAGGAGCATTCTTAAACCCCCCACGTACACGCATCAAGAAGGAACGCGTTGCTGGTGCTGCTCATGAGGTCCGGGAATGCAACGAACGTGCCCTCCAGCACCAGGTGAATCGACCCAGTCACGGCCCACCAGCAGAAGATGGCTCTATCCAGAGCCGACATGTGGCGGCAAGATCCTGATAGGGCGGGTGGAGGAAACACGGGGCCGTGAAGGAGGGGTAGGGGGGCTTCGCCGATCAATATGAAGAATGAAGAGGGGGAGAGGAGACGAAGGGGTTGGGGGGGGTGGGGGAGGGGGGTGGGAGAGGAAAGAAGACGGCCCTATTCTGAGCCGACATGTGGTGGCAGGACCCTGATGGGCGGGAGGAGGAAAGACAAGGTGGGGGCGGAAAGAGGCAAAAGAAGGCCCCGTCACTGCCCACCAGGAGATGACGAACCCATTAACACCCGACAGCCGACAGCCGACAGCCGACATGTAGCAGCCGGAGCCTGACGTTACATGTCAGCCGACAGCCGACATGTGACGGCGGGTGTATGATTTCGGCGGATGTGGGCTTTCGGTGGGTGTTGATCGGTGGGGAGTGGAGGTGGGAATTTGAGAGATGTAAGAATTGGAAGAAGTTTCGGCAATGGCGGAGACGAGAGTGTGCTTTGAGTCGACTAGAAACACAATCTGACAAAGGCTCAGCAATGTCGGAGACGAGAGTCGTCAGGAATGTAATCCGCCGCATGATCCATCGTATGATTCGCTAGTTAGTCGCATGATTCGCTAGTTAGTCGTATGATTCGCTTGTCAGTCGTATGATTCGCACGATTCGCAGAGCATGGATGTCACGAATCGCAGGGACGTCGCATCGGGTGTCCCTTCGCGTAGTACATCGCAGCGACGCGCTAGCTTGTCTTACACGGCCACATTTGCAGGTCAAAGCGAACCTACGGGTAACCGAGTAACGATGGGCTTGGCGAGTTAGAGTGGATCGGCAACAAGGGGTATTAACAGTGGACCTATCCTGGGTGAAGAGTCACGAGGCGTGATCACTGATCGAGACGCCATTGAAGCAGTTTCCGCGTCATTGCGTGAAGGACCACAGTTGCTTTGAAAACGACTTTAATGGCGTCATTGCGACTTACGGGTGAAGAGCCACGAGACGACGATCACGAGAACAACGGCCGCTCCGAAGACGCCGAAGAGCGCTTCGACGGACCATCCCGAAGGAGAGTAATTAGGAACGACGATGTCGCGCGGATAGTACGGATGATCTACCACGGCTGACGCCATGGCTGGAGTATTGGCGAGTGCTTCCCGAAAAACACGAAACGATCACGCCTTTTGCAACACGAACGGATTCAATTGCGAACTGAATGTGACGAGGAGATCATTTGGCTATTGGCGGGAATTTGGGGCTGTGAACTAGTGGTGGACAGACACCCACAGATTCTGGGAAGGCTGGATCTGGTGGGGGTAGATTTCAAGTGTTGACCAATGAGGCTCCTCCGTGCGTGTTCAAGGCGCGTTCGAGAATGAGGGTTGTCTATGAAAATCTAAGCGTGAGTTTGAAGAGCAGTCCTCGGTGTTCAGGGCAGGAGGGTGTGGGTATGGCGCCATTGTGCTTCAAGACAGCACTTGAACGCAAAAACACCAATAACCCTAGCGAGCTGTCTGCAGCTCAGTTTCGATCAGCCCTGAGGGGGCTCGCAAGAAGCACTCCGAAGTTTTCGTCAGGAGTTAGGGCGTGTGCCTTTTTGCTCCCGACGGTTAGAACCGTGGACCGTCCGATTTGCAAAAATGTTACCCGTTTCGTCACTTGTCGTGACTGTTTCGTGAAGGGATTGGCGACGTCGCCAGCGGTTCGACCTGTCGTGTCACTTTTCCCTCCAAGCTGTTGTAGAGTACTCTCCTCTGCTTTGCAGGAACTGAGATTTGTACTAAACGATAGAGCACTCTGCTGGCTTTGCAACGAGCCGTCAAACACGCGATTCGCCCAAGTAACGAGGGAGTTCTATGCGTTTATGTGCTTGCTAGTGCTCTTAGAACAAAGGATGGGAGCTCTCTGGATTTTGAAGTTCGAATTCACCTTTGTACAAGATGATTCAAGTTTTCAATATGTTTTATGCAACACAAAAGCAAACACATTTATATGAACTGCAAAACGTCGAATCGCACATGTAACCTCGAACCGCGGTACACTCGAATGTTCGAGTAACATTTCGAAGGGGTGAAATTCGAGTCTCGAATTTCACCGAATCGAATTCTCCCTGAGTCTCGATTCTTCTTGTGCTGCCATGTGGCACCGAAATGCAAGTCTCTCGAAGTCAACCTGCACCTTCTCGAGACCTGCAGTGAACACATTCGGAAGCAACACATTCGGTGGGTTGGGGGCATATCAATCGCCCCACCACCACCTTGCTTCCAACACACGCCACCTCCAACACTCCCCCTTGCACCCAACCCACTAGGTGTGCAAACCAACATGCTCATAGCATGCACGGGATGGATTTTTAGGGGGTAGTTCCATGAGAGATTCCGCGTGTTTATCATCACCCTTGGTTGCGAAGCAAAATGCCGCGCCCCCTTTATCCGTCTCCCCAACGGCTACCGTAGCGTAGTCGTTGTACTTGGAGGGAGGACGAACCTCACGACGCTCGCGAGCCAAGGCCAATGGTAAGGAGGAAGGTGTGGAGGTAGTTGCCATCTCGGTTGGTGTCACCTCCACGACATCATCAACGCTCTCCTCGTTGTTCTCTCCCCCTCCATTTTCGGCTTCACGTTCCACTTGTGGTGGAACTTCACTTTCTTCAACCTCCTCTCGTGCCGGAAGGATGAAGGTGATTTGTTGAGTTGGTTTCTCCTTCGGGAACTTGTCTTCATCGAAGACCACGTCCCGAGATGTGACGACGCACTTGTCACCCAAGTCCCATACTCGCCATGCACGCTCGTTTGGCGCAACTCCCAAGAAGATCGCCGCACGAGCCTTCGGTTGCAACTTTTGGCGAAGAGGATCCGGTACATGGTAGTAGCAAAGACATCCGAAGGTGCGTAGGAGGGAAAGGTTTGGCTTCGTTCCGGTCCATGCTTCGAACGGAGTCGTTCCCGGTAGCACCTTGGTCGGCAAACGATTACGAATCCATGCCGCTAGCACACTTGCCTCTCCCCACCACTCGTTCCCAAGCTTGGAGTGTTGAAGTAGTGAACGAACGGCTTCCACCAACGTGCGATTAAGCCGCTCCGCCGCTCCATTTTGTTGGGGTGTGTAGGGTGTTGTGACGTCATGCTTAATGCCTTTGCTCTTCATCCATTTCTCAAGCTCCGCGTTCACGAATTCGCCACCACCATCGGTGCGAATACACTTGATCCGCTTCTTGTCGTCGTCGCAAACTTCGAGCGCCCACTCTTGAATCGCCTTGGCCGCGTCGCCCTTAGCCTTCAAGAGTCGGGTCGAACACATCCGCGTCGCGTCATCGAGCATCACCAAGAGAAAACGCGCTCCTCCCTTTGATGCATGTCGCATCGGTCCACACACGTCCATGTGAACAAGCGCAAGCGGATCCTTAGCGAGGGGAGAGGTACGGCTACCAAATGGCTTCCGAGCCATTTTTCCTTCGAGACACGCCGCGCACACGCCCTTCTCGTCGTCGCCGGCGATCACGTCGACTCCCTTCGCAAGACCCTTGTTGGCCAACTCCTTGACCGACTCGTAGTTGGCGTGCGCAAGCCTATTATGCCACGCCTTGAGAGTCGCCTTGGAACCTTGCGCCACGTTGGATGAAGCCGCTCTCGGGTACGTCTTGAGTTGGTAGATATCTCCGTTGAGTACACCTTGCGCGAATTGCTCCCCCTTCCAAAAGAGGTTCATCTTCGCACCGTCGATGGTGGCGATCACACCCTTCTTCGCAAGTTGCGGGACGGATAGAAGGTTCACCTTCACCCCCGGGACGTGAAGCACGTTCGTGACGTCCACCGGTCCGCTATCAACGATGAGGCGCGTACTCCCAACTCCAACCACCGGTAGCGATTCGTTGTTTCCGAACACGATGCTCGTGACGTCTCCCGGAGCATCAATGTTGTTGAGGAGCGACGCCGAGTGCGTCATGTGTTGCGTTGCGCCGGTATCGAGGAACCATGCGTCGCTTGGAGCTTTGTTCCCGTTGCCGGCCACTAACACGAGCGACTCCCTTGTATCATCCGCCTCGCAGGATGCCGTGTGCGCGTTGCCCTCTTGGTCCCGCGCCATCGATGGAGTCCAATCGCTCGGCCGCTTTCGACGCTCACGCCAAAAGTGTCCCGGTTTGCGGCAATAGTGACACTTGCCACGATGCTCGCTCCCACCGGACGATTCCTTCGTCGAACCCTTGCTCCACTTGGACTTCTTTCCGGAACTCCCTCCGGAGTACATGGCGGTCTCCACGCTCTCATTAGCGAATTGTCGGCGACGCGATTCTTCATGGAGAAGCCGACCGACCACCATTTCCTTCGTCCAAGTGTCTTGCACGCTATCAAGTGTCGTAATCACCGTCGACCACTCTTCCGGAAGGCCGCAAAGCAAGGTCAAAATCCAATCCTCCTCCGTGACCGTTCCACCGAGTTCCTCCACACGAGTCGCATACTCGTGCATCGATTCGCCCGCGCGCATCTTCACCGTGTAGAATGCATTCCGGGCTAGGATCTTGCCGTGGAGAGTCTTGTTCACGTGGATGGTCTCGAGCCGCTTCCACGCTTCATGCGCCGACGCTTCGAGCTTGATGCACATGCGCACCGAGCTCACGAGATTGATGCCGATGCGCGAAATCAACGTAGCGAACGCCTTTTGGTCCTTCTTCTTCCATGCCGCGATGCCGCTCTCATCGTCCGGCTTCTTCTCCGTTCCATCGAAGAAACCCCAACGTCCCCGCTCCATCATGAGCACTTGGAACTTAAACTTCCACGCGGAGTAATTTTGTCCCGTGAAAATCGGTACCGCCGACGTGTCGAACATCCTCGCGGTTGCCCAGGGTTCGCCGGAATTTACAACGACACCATCCAAGGAAGTGCGGGAGGCCTCGCTTGAAGTCGGCATGCTTGCTCCTTGTCGCGCGCGTAGACTCCCCCGACCAGCTCTGATACCACTGTTTTAGAGTACTCTCCTCTACTTTGCAGGAACTGGGATTTGTACTAAACGATAGAG